CACCCGGTTCCGCCAAAACTTTTAAAAAGTTGCACCTCGTCTTCTGCTGCAGGCCCGGATGACTTACATCCAGCCTTCTTCAAATTTGGTGGTACTTCCGTAGCTGTGGCAATTACCTCCATTGTAAATGAATCCCTTCACACTTCTACTATCCCCTACTGTTGGAGGCCGGTTACAATCAAACCAATCCCCAAAGTGTAGTGACAATATTTTCATTTCCCAACACCATTCCCTCGACACATGTAAAGACACTATTTTGTTTTATTGCCCTCCGTTTCGAGAACTCATATGACCTCTATCCTGGCACAATTTCCGGTGAGTTGTATCGTGCGCTTTGCTTTCTGTACACCTTCCACTGCAGGCCACATTACACTACATACGCTCGTACCTGACTTCGTTCTCAATTCACACTTGCTCTGGGAATTGTTCGACAAGCCCGATTGGTTAAATTCATAGACGCGTGTTGACTTCGGCCCCAACTTGTCGTGCTAAAAGCAGTAACTTCTCGAAAAGCTTCAACGCAACAGACATACATGCAATGGGACGGAATTTTGAGGTGCCTATTTTGGGAACTGGAGTGATAGAGGAAGATTTCTGACAATCTGGTATAATTCCGTTTTTCAAGCACTGGGTAGACTGAGCTGTGAGCACTGGCGAAAGTTTGTGAGTGCACTCCTTAAGGATGGCAGCCCCCTACCTATCGGGACCGGGTGATTTATTGGGTTTGAGTGTCAGCAAATCCTTCAGAGTAGTAAAGGGTTCTTTGTTTTGCATTCATCACCAGATGTAGAAGAGCTGAAATCCACTTTCGTTAACATCTGTTATAAACACTTGGGCAGTAAACCGTCGACAACAGAGTTAGTAACCGCGCAACACCGGGAACGGTTGTACAGTTTGAAGGAAAACCGAGAGGTAATACTTTCGAGATCAGATAAAGGCGCCGGAATAGTTCTTTCAAATCGATCGGATTATATCAACAAAATGAACAGCATACTCAGCAATGCCAGCAAATTTCGGAAAATAGCCGGGGAGAATCATAAAACAGAACAAATAGAAAAGTCACTGTCGAAAACTTTCCGGTGTCTCAAACAGAGGGACGTAATAGACACTGCCACATTTTTTTTCTGGAAGATATCTTTGCATTTTCTGCTTCAAAATTTCTAATGTCTGTGTTGTGCAAATTTACAGGTACATAAATATTTTTGTGTGAGTGTAATATATGTACTTAGATGCCTGTATAAAAAGGAGACAGTCCGACAACAGAACCGAACCATGCCGGTCTGAGACGCGGTTGTTTTGGTGGTGCTTGGGTGAATTTATTATAAGAGTGCGAATAACAGAAGTGGAGGGAATGGACCAGTCGAACAAACGAAGCAAGAAACAGGTTGGTGACTAGGGTCAAGAAAAAACAGCAACGTAAGNTGAAGTTCCAAGCTGCCCGAGAATTAATTTTGTAATTTTACGGCTTCGGAAAGAGAGCTCAAGTGGAGGATGAGGGAACGGACAAAGTTATTTGATAAGCAAAGTGGAAAAATGACTAAAGTAGGTTGAGTAGGATGGCACAATGCGACCGTATTCTATGGGTGTTGTGAGGACATGTGATCACGGGCGTGGGACCAACTCGGTCAAAGGCGAATAAAACAAATCGAAATCTGAACCCGTTGTTCCGACTCCAGAAAGACAGCTACAAAATGTACAGAGTTGTGACAAGTGTCGTGTGTACCAGCTCAGGTGAAGATAGGAATTCAAAGTAGAACCCAAGTGTATGTGAGCGAACTGATGACAGTTAGATGTGCTGATGCCAGCAAACACATCACAATGGACCACACTCGCGTATATACTAGGGGAATACGGTAGAGCGGAGAAATGGACAATTATGATTACAAGATTCAAAAAGCGGAGAGAGAGAGTTTGTTCAACGGAGACGGGTCCCACAGTGGATGGATAGGCACAAAGGCCGTAACGTGCAAAGAAGTTGGAGACAGCGAGTAGTGTGGGGAAAGAGATGTAACAACTGCATTTGAAAGTTTGCACACGTCCCACAATCAATAGTGCTACGGTGGGGATGTGTGAGTCATTATAATCGATGGGATGAACCGTTTGTTGGGCAACCACTGCGTCGCGTTGGTGGGCCAACTAATCACAGCGATTGATTGTTACCAGTAAACTGAGGTCAAGAGAACGAGTCGAATCTNAAAGAAGTTGGAGACAGCGAGTAGTGTGGGGAAAGAGATGTGACAAATGCATTGAAAGTTCGCACACGTTCCACAATCGATAGTGCTACGGTGGGGATGTGTGAGTCATTATAATCGATGGGATGGATCGTTTGTTGGGCAACCACTGCGTCGCGTTGGTGGGCCAAATAATCACAGCGATTGATTGTTACCAGTAAACTGAGGTCAAGAGAACGAGTCGAATCTTAGCGCGCATGCAAACTGTAAACGACAGTTTGAAGAGATTGCACTGACCCACAACTCGGTGAGCAGATGCCGAAGGGTACAGCAACTGTTTTATCGAATTTCTCTATAGACGAACAGGAACGACGATCCCGAGACTTTATGGCTTACCAAAGATACATAAAAATGGAGTGCCTCTCCGACCGATTCTAGACATGTGTAACTCCCCTTACCATGCCTTAGCTAAGTGGCTGGTAGCGATCCTGGAACCCGTGCGAGCAAAACTCGCCAACCACACATTAAAGAATGCCTACGACTTAGTGGCTAGTATTAACGACACAAACATAAACGGAATACGCATGTTATCACCCGACGTCAGTTCACTCTTCACTTACATTCCCATTGATGAAACTATTGAATACATATGTGACCACATACAAAGGAATAATTGTGAAGTTGGTATGCCGGTTGGTGATCTCAAACAATTACTATACTTCTGAATACAATGTACAATTCAAATTCAATGACGAAGTAAATCGCCAAATAGAAGGAGTAGCAATGAGATCTCCTCTGGGTCCATTGTTCGCTGATATCTTCATGGCAAAGCTGAAGAATAACATCCTAAAACGAACAATTGATTGTTGCACATTTTACAAGTGCTATGTGGATGACATTTTAAGCTTTGTCAATGTCAGTGTGCATCTGTCAAGAGTCTTGAAAGTATTTAATTCAGCTCATCGAAACATTAAATTTACTCTAGAGAACGAAGAGAATGAGGAGCTTGCATTTCTGGACGTTCTACTAAGCCGTCGATCAGACGGAACTATCCAACGCGCCATCCACAGGAAGCCATTGTGGAACANGACAGTTTAAGTACCTGAAGAGATTGCACTGACCCACAACTCGGTGAGCAGATGCCGAAGGGTACAGCAACTGTTTGACTGAATTTCTCTATAGATGCGGCACGTTTCAAGTAGGAATTATGAAGATTTCATCAAAAGCTCCGTGAACTCGTACACATATGTGAAAGAAGGACGATGAGCCGCAAAGGGCTAGGACGGAGGAAAAGGAATAACATAACGTACGACCTGTGGAAAGACACTGAAAGATAGAAAGAACACGCTAAATGAAAGTGAAAAAGCAAAAAATTATTGATTGCGTACATGTGGACAAATGTGAAAACAACCTGTGGGTGAATGGATAATCACAACTTTATCCTTCACCGTCAACACGAAAAATATACAGTGGAGGAAAAAACCTAGTAGCGACTTATCATAAACATGTGTATGAAATTAGATGATGAGGAAAATACAAGTGAAATGTACAATGCCGATCCATGTTCGAGTCTTCGCCTCGGTGAACAATGTCCGACGTCCGTGTGGGAGTGAGAGACAGAGACGGGTTAATATGAACGCCAGGGAAGGCTGCATGGTATACAGACAAAACTTCCATTTCAGAAATCGATGGAAATTAAAAGTGAATTTTCAGAAATGGGTGGTTTGTGTGGATGAAGAGTGAACAAATTGTGAATGGCGCAGTCCGCGAATATGCGTGAGAAAGAGCGCGCTGTAGTGAACAAACGGGCAAACAAGTGTGTGAACACCGAGACAGTTGGTGTGACTGAGCATGTGGAGACCAGATTGGACTGTGTGGTAAGGTTCACTAATCACAAAATTTCTAAAATACTTTGGTTGTTCATATCCGATGAGGCTGATTGCTATGGCGACAAATGAATCGCATGAGTTTATCCCTGTGGCTACCATCGTTCCATGATGGAATAACGGTACTGTGATGAGGCAAATCAGCGCAGACTGGTAAAGTGCGGAACAACGATTCAAACAAATCGTCAGCGAGCGCACAGACCAATGCAATTCACAGATGAGCAAAAAATAAAACAAACACCAAGAAATTGGATACCACACGCTGCTGATTGCCGTCATAGCATGCATGCATGCAGTATAAGGAGCAGAACAAGTATTTGACCGGCAACTCTGAACGATTGAAGAGTATGCGATTTCCAGGTAGGTGTCAGTCACCAGGAAGCACTAACTGGACATATGTGAACCTGGATAAGTAAGATTGTAGGAAAAAAGTGGGAGCATTGTAATTTATAACACAATGCCCATTGAATAGACTTGAAAAACAAAATGTGGATGCATTTTGAAAACTTTACAATTTACAAGTTAGTCTTTTCTGGCGTCTGCTTCTTTCTCCAATCTGCGGATAGCGTGGCTCAATCATCGCTTGTGAAGTGCCTGAGTGGATTGTTGCTGTTGCTGCTGCTGCTGCTGTTGCAACAACTGTGCCTCGGCTCGGCGACGACATGTTTGACTGTGTTGTGCTTCCCAGTGTTGCCATTGGCATGTTTTTGAGCAATATGCGGTGCCCAGACAGCAATGGTACAACGCCTCATTCAAACAGACTTGGCACCAGGTACGCTGTTTGACACGCTTGAGTTCCTCCTCATGATCTTGCTTTAATTGGCTGATCAATGCTAATTGCCGATTGACCTCTTCGCGTGCCTGATCGCGCTCCGTAGTCAACGTGATTAGACGATCGGCGTAAATGCGATGAATACGCTCCTGGTGAGAAAAACGACAATCAGTGAACATTGTGCAAAACCTGATAAATTAAAATCGTTTTTAAACACAGCGACTAAAGACACGATCTACCTAACTTTACCGTTTCCAACATTATGTAGCACGGACAAAAAGCCCGCGTTTATTGTATCTGTTGTATTTGTTTGCATACTTCGAGAGAGGAGAAAGCACTGAAAATGACATTACCCGCTTGAGCATTTCATTCTTGATGTGACAATTTCGGGGTGAGTGTGCGAAAGAGAGATTCTGAATAACTGTCAGCAGAAGAATAAACGAAATCATGAAACGACCTACTACCGCATATAGCGCTTGTAATTTAGTCCGGGTAAACATGTTTTACGAACCTATTTCGCCGTCTAATTCCGCCCTCTGTATTCGCTTGCACGTATCTCTTGACATACCAATCCTGACTAGCTGGCCTTATGCACAACCCTGGTTTATCGACAAATCGGATTCGCTGGTCTCAGCTGTCTAAAAGAACCGGATAAAGTCAGACCATGGAGCACGTGGTTGATCGAGAGGTGAGACGTCGGGGCACTGTTGAGAGAACGTTTTCTCGCTGTTGTGCCTATGGTAACGAAATGAAAACACATGCGCGCACACACGCAGAGGGAGAGAGGAGAGCGTGAACAACGCGCGTACATACGCGCATGAACTGCTTTTCGTAATGTTGCGAGTGCGCGCCTACAAGAAACGCACATGCCAACCAGGCTGAACAGTTGCCGCATTGGATGCAAG